ATTAATCTCCTGGTCAAGAAAGGCAACTCATTGACATTGGGTTCATCACCCAAAGACCAATGCCCTTCTATTGCCTTACAAACTCAGTTTGTTGATTTGCTTCTGTGTGCATGTAGATGTGTGTGTGTTTATGGTCTGCTTTATGGGTATATAAGCTGCAATAACGACTTAGTACTAATGCCCTACAAAAAGTGCTTGCTTGATGCAGCAGCTCTCACCTCAATGGAAAAAAATGTTTAACTAATGCAGGATCCCTCAGCTGAGTCAGAAAACTGGGATGGTTATTGCTTTCCTATGCAGAGATGTAAAATGAGTTGTAATTCTGGCACTGGAGAGAGGGAAGGTGCTGTGGTGAATACCTAGGACAGGAGGGGAAGTAAGGAGATGAGTTTGGATGGATTACACTTGTGTTTCACTTTCAGTGTGTAAGGGAAGAGCAAAGTGAGTGGGCTTGCATGCAAAGTGCCAGGGGATGTCAGCAGGCTGGATGTGTTAGAAAACTTCAGTGGGTTGGAAAGCAGCATAGAGTAGCTCTGCTGTGCAACACAGGAGCTAGATATTAAGTTTTGTGGTGGTGTGACTCCAGGGAGCAGTTTCCTCTTTTCCCCACCTATGTGCAGATTTGGGAAGTCCTTTGCAATGTAGCTCACGCAGCCCACAGCTTTTGGAAGTATCATTTAACTAAAGATGGAATAATGGGATTTGCCCCCAATGCAATGAACCTTGCAGTCACTAAGAGGTTTAAAAAGAAATTATCATCTAGGCCTTCCAAATAGTGGGGCTTTATTGTAAGCCATGGGTTTGGGGCTTGTGTTTATCTGCTTTCTGGTTTTCTTGGGTTTGTGGGGGTCGTGGTCTCTGCACCCCTCTGATGCTGAAGAACAGCAACCAGTTTAAAGGAATAAAAGCCAACACATCTGCCTGATGTATTGGCAGGTATGGGGGGTTGAGACACAGAGCATCTCCCTCTGCCCCAGGAGTCTCTGTTCCCATGTGAACCAGTAGACAACACTCCTCCTTTGCTGGATTTGCTTCCTCCTCCACTATGCTCTCACCATGGCCACAGTCTAGAATCTGGACGTGGCTGTTTGTGATCCTTAATTGCTTAGTACACAGCTTACAGAAATCCTGCCGTGTCTTTGGAGGGATTTAACTCTTGAAACCTGTAGCTCTGCAGTTTGGCCGTCAAATGCTCAGTGTGGTGAATGGTGCTAAAATCCTTCCAACCGGACTTCATTAAAAAGTAACTCACCCTCTCCCTGGAGCATCTCCAACAAAACAAGCCAAAACCATGCCAGAACCCATTGCTAGTCCTTGTGCCTTAAACATCTTTTGGAAACATCCTCTTGGTGTGCTGTACCAGGAGCATAAAACCCCCTTTCAGAGCGTGTGCCGCTCTGTCCGCACATGGAGTGGCCTTTCCTGTGGGTGGGGTGAGCTGCCCTCAAGGCATTCCTAGCTAATTTTGTTTCCTCATAGGGGAAACATGAGCTAAAGCATCCTGGCTGGCTGTGTGGTAGTGCCTGCTTGCTGTGCCCCCTGGCAAGGTGAAATTGTGTAACGTATTTAACCTTGTTTGGCCGAATTGCTCATCAAATGGATATCGCTGCTGCTTTTAGATTTTCTTTGTAGCTTCTGCACTAAGTTCAGCACAAATGAACAGTGATTTCTTTAGTGCAGGTGTGTGGTTTCCTGCCCTGGAAAGGGAGCTTCAAAGGCTACCTAAAAATTCCCTTGTTAATCAGAGATGCTGTCGCAAACTGGGAACTTACTATTTATTAGAGAGGGTGCTTTCTTTCACTTTGTTTTGAGAACTGTGAAAGAAAATGTAATGGGGGGGAAAAGGGGATCAATCATTTTCCAGACACTTAAAAAAAGCCAACAAACACAACTACAACCTAATTGTTTACTTATAAAAGTAGAAAGCATCTAACAGCTGCGTGCATCAAAACTATGTGATGGACATGACTTAAAAAAAATCCCCACATTGTATAGGAGTCTGATTGGAATGCAGACTTGTATAGAGAGTGAACACTTAATGAAGAAACAGGCAAAGGGGGAAAAAAACCCCAAAACACATCCAGGAGGGCTGATGCACAGAATTACTTGAGTCACTTGAAGCACTTGACTACAGTTAAATAGGGACAATAAGATTAAAGTGAATCAAAATAGCTGCAAGTCATCAGGTGTCACGTTCAGCCTCCAGTAATTTGTCTTAAAGGACAGTGGCTTTCAAAACAGCCTGCTGGATGCCTGGCAGAGTATAGGAGGTGCCAGTAATTAATTGGCTGCTGAATTGATCCCTTCCAGTGAAGCAGAAGGGAAAAACCAGGGCTCATACGAGACTCCCGCAGCCCGAGATAAAGAGCTGGTTGCTCCTGCCTGGCAGCCTGTGCACAGCTCCTCCCAGGCCCCCCAAAATAACACCTGGGTGCTCACTGCTGGCCTGGCAATGCAAAGAAGGCTTGCAAAGGGTTGGGGTGTCCACAGGGGTATTTAGTTGCCCTTCCATCTTGTTCATCCCAGTGCTGGTTACAGCATCAAAGCTGGTCATGCACTCTTATCTTTGCACGGAGTTTAAAAATACCACATGTTTAAGTATTGCAGCTGTTTCACCTTGAATGGACTGTTACATTTTCTCTAGTGGCTTTTTGGGTGGTCAGTTCGTTTTTCCTGAATGCCACACTGAGCAACTGAAGACAAACCCAATTGTTTGCAATACTTGTTTGGCCGTCCCCTAATTGCTTTTGACTTTCTTACATGAACCACCTCCTGCTCAAGTGTCTACCTGTGTGATTGTCCAAGTGTTTTAATTGTGTAAGCCTTCCTGCAGCAAGGTACCTGAAGGGAGTATTGTGTATTTTAGGTGGTGGTTAGGTGTCTGGGATGGAGCAGATAGATAGTAGGGTTTGTAAACCTTGTGTAGAGGCAGCTCCACTAACAAAGAACCTGTGTGAAGTGAGCAGTGTCAGGCAGTGTTCAGACCAAAAAGAACCAAGTCTGTCTCACCTAGTGAAGCAAAAGCTGGGGATGTGTAGGGTTACTTTCAGTGTGTTTATAGAAAGTGAACACTCGAGAGTGAGGAGAGCAATCTCAGATGAAAGACACGGTTTAGCAGATGACAGATGGATTGAAAACAGGAGCGAGCCTGGCTGGGAATTAAAAATAGTTTCTGACCAGCAGAAGGGGCGGAGCATGACTGAGCAGTGAATTACATCTGAGCAAGAGCTTGGTCAGCCTGTGTAAGGGATTGGGTGACGTTGGACACTGGGATGATTCAGCTCAGCCCCACGTTCCTGTGCTGCCTGTGAGCTCCTGCTGTGCCTGGTCGCAGGGCGATGCCGCTGTGCCTGCAGACAGGCAGCCTGCCTGTGCCAGGGAGCTTGGGAATGTTGCTCATTAGCTTGCCAAGCAAACAAGCAGGAGTAACACCGTGCAGAGCAGTGAAACGCTTGATGAAAATCTTTCTGAGCTTGGAGGCGGAGAAGGAAATCCTGCCCATCCTGCCTGCAGTGACTAGGGCAGTCTGAAGGAGGATGTGTCTGCCAAAGCAGCTCTTGATTTTGGCCAGTGAAACCATTTAATTAAAGTAGCACTGAAAAGGAAGCCGGAAACTCAAGAAGCAGGTTTTTAATCACTTAGACTGTGGTAGACAATCTCTATGCAAATCACGCCTCCAGCATCACCACCCTATGCATGGGTGTGTGTTCCTGTCCCTGTGGATGGACAGGGCAGGCAAGAGCCCCTTGGGCTCCTGACATGTGTCACTTGGCATCTGCACTTGGCCTCAGCTTTCAGAGGGGCGTTGTGTCGCTTCTCTTATCTGTATGTGGGCCCTAAGACCCTTCCTGGTGGTGGATGCCTCCTCGGGATGCTGAGAAACATGCTCCAGTGTGGCAAAAATGTGGGCGTCACACACAGGGAGGAGAGGCCCTCTCCATCAGTGTATTATCGTAGAATATCCTGAGCTGGAAGGGACCCACAAGGATCATCGAGTCTGACTTCTGTTCCTGCACAGGACACCTCAAGTATCAACACCATGTGCCCAAGAGCACCTTTGATATGGGGAATTTCTGATGGAATATGAATGTGGGGTCCTTGAAAGTACAACTGTCAGAGTGACTCTGGGGCCCCCCGTGGGTCTCCAGCAGCTTGGCCATCTGTCCAGGGCTGCAGGATCACACCCAGGCAGGGGATACTTGAGCTTAGTGGAGATTCCTGAAGTTTTCCTATTTTCTCAAAGATTTGACTCTTTGGTTTAGGGTATTTTCAGAGAATCACAGAGGGTCATTGAGTCCAACCTATGCCTAACACCACTGTATCAACCAAACCATGCACTAAGTGCCATGTCCAGTTTTTCCTTAAATGCCTCCAGGGACAGTGACTCCACCAGCTGCCTGGGCAGCCCATTAAACGTCTGATCACCCTTTCTGTGAAGAAATTCCTCCTGATGTCCAACCTGAACCTCCCCAGGCACAGCTTAAGGCCATGTCCTCTTGTCCTGTCGCTGATTACTGGGAGACTGACCCCACCTGGGCTACAATCTCCTGTCAGTGGTTGTAGAAAGCGATAAGGTCACTCCCGAGCCTCCTTTTCTCCAGTCTCAGCCCCCTCAGCTGCTCCTCATCAGATTTGTGTTCCAGCCTCTCCATGTCCTTCCTGAATTGAGGGGCCCAGAACTGCACACAGCACTCGAGGTGTGACCCCTCACCAGCGCTGAGTCCAGGGGGAGAGTGACTGCCCCGGTCCTGCCGGCCACACTATTTGCTGATACAGGCCAGGATGCCCTTGGCCACCAAGAAGGAGGGGGTTTTTATGTGTGTGTGCGTGTGGTTTTTTTAAGGCAGCCTTCAGCATGCTGCCTCCATGGCTGCTGCACAGACCCTGCGGGGTACGGCCGGGCATCGCCCTGCTGCTGCTCCTCCAGGCCGGGAACGCTGCCCCGCGCCCTCCGCCGGCACGTCCCGCCGGGCGGGGCCGGGGCGGCCCCGAGGAGCGGCAGGAGGAGGAGGAGGAAGGGGCGGCGCTCGGCTCGGCTCGGCTCGGCGCGGCCATCCCCGGGCCCCGCATCGCTGCGTGCGCGGAGCCGCCGTGCAGCCGGCAGGATGATCGCCGCCCAGCTCCTGGCCTACTACTTCACGGAGCTGAAGGAGGACCAGGTCAAAAAGGTTAGATGGACATCCCCCGCCCCAAGGCTGCCCCCGGCCCGCACTGCTTTTTTTTTTTTTCCATTTTTTTCTTTTTTTTTTCCACTTTCTAAAATTCCCCCCCTCCCCCGTTGGTTTTGTTGCTTTGTCCCCAGAGCCACCCAGCTGTGGGAGAAAGGGGGATAACCCCGGTTTTAAGGCCCCCCGCCCCGAGCATCCCCGCTGGAGATGGGAGTGGGGCGTGGGTGATGGATGCACAGCGGCGGCTCAGGCCGCAGGACTGAGCTCAGCAAGGCGAGGCAGGAGCTGGGGGGCTTTGGCACTGAGCGGAGGGTGGTGGCTCCTCGGGTTTTTGGTGGGCACCAGCATCCCTGAAGAGGGGATTTCCCCTTCTTCCCGAGGGTATCTGCGGGCGTCGTCACTCCAGCAGGCGAGGAGCAGGTAGTTTTTGAATTATGTGCCACTGCAGGTTCAGAATTTACAGGAAATGCTTGTCATTTGTGCTTAAAAAGGAGCGTTTCCATAGGCTTTTTTTCTTTTCCTTCAGCAACCTTCTCCTGGTTGCTCTTGTGTAGTTGGTGCAGCCCTGGAATTGAGCACTGCTAGAAGGAAAAGGGTGCGGAGCACAGGATAGATAAAAACACGGCAGTTAGGGCCCGGCTGAGCATATTGCAGAGCTGTAGGAAGCGGGGAGCCTGGGGCGAGGGATGTGGGGACACAAATTGGGAAAATAATTGCAAACATCCCCGAGCCGGGCTGACGTCAGGAAACAGAGGCTTCCCCTCTGCCACCTCCTCCGGCCGTGCTGCGTGACCCACCTGGGCGCGCTGCATGACCCACCTGGGCGCATGGCTGCAGGCATCCCTAAAATATTTTGGGGAAGCCCCAATGGCAACATGAGCAGCGCTGATTTGTACTGTTCCCGGGGCTTGTGAACCTCCCCAGCCAGGAGGAGGAGAGCATCTCCTCCCTTCGGGCCTCCAGCTGTGCCAGGGGATACCTCAGCTCCCGTGTGTGGGTGACCCATCCTGCCCCACTCCAGACGTGCTCACCCGTGCCCACTCCTCCCTCGGAGACAACCCGAGGCAGCGCCTCATATTTTCCGGGTCGCCTTCCGTGGTTTAGGTCTTTTGCTTTTCCACCCAGTGACTCTGGCGAGGGCTGGAGGCTGCTCAGCCTGCACCGTCCTGCACCTTCTGGCCCCACAGACGTGGCTCTCCCTATGCCCCAGGCCCATTATGTTCCTTTTCCCGTAGGATTTGTAAGTGCTGCTGCTGTGCCAGGCATGCGTGCCTGGGTAAGGCCTTCTCTGTCTCGCTGCGTGGGTTATATTTAGAAAGCCAAGATAAGCACAAGGGAGCACGGCAGCCCAGCAGTGGTAGAAGGGCTGTGGGGAAGGCATGGAGGGAGCACAGGGAAACTGTGGTGTTCTGGGGGTTATTTATTGCAGGCTGGTTTGGCACCATGGGGCTCCTATTGTCTGACAGCACGGGAAATGGTTTGGCCAGGGAGCTGTAAAGCATTCTAATGGATCTATCTGGTTTTGTCTGGAAAAGGAAATAAAATAATTAAGCCCAATTAAAAAAAAAAAAGAAAAGGCAGGCTGCTGGTTTTGGAGGATGTAAGACGTCTTTTCCTGTTTGTATGCTTTTGGAACAGATATTGAGCCCCTCACCTTTGACTGTTCTGTAGGGAGGGTGTCAGTGGCAGCCAGAGGCTCTGCTGCCCCACAGCTGCTGGGAGCTGGTGGGCTCCGCTCCCTGGTTCCCTGGGGGACAAAAGTGGTTTTGCTCCATCTCAGCGTGCTGCTTCCGAGGTCTGTGCTCCATCAGTGTGCCGCTTTTAGGGATACGTGCCTGCATGGCTTCATTTCAGGTCCCTCCCTCTCCTCTCTGCTTCCGGAAGGGCAACACTTTGCTGGTACGTGCCTGGGGCCGAGGGCTGCCACACAAGGCATTGTCCCTGCTCCCCACGCTGTACCCTGGGTGTCCTGGCCGTGGTGGCAGCTCCTCTGCCTCGCTGGTCCATTGCAGCCATCGGCTCGGCGTTTGGTGGCACAGGTTGCAGGTCACCTTCAGGATGCTGCTCTGGGTCATAGGAGGGGTGTGAACAGGTTAAAAGTACCAGCAAGCAAAGGTTGAGCATTCTTTTCCCCTTGTGACCCTGTTTTCTTCTTTTTTTTTTGAATTCCCATCCTTGCTTTTTTTTTGTGTGTTCCCATCCCTGTGTGGCTCTAATGCTCCGCGCTGCCTTTCCGTGGTGGGAGCCCTGCTGAGGGGCATGGATAGGGCTGGTGGTTCCAGGCCCTTGGGGTATCCTGGGTCTAAGAACTAGTGCTTCTGTGCTGGATTTTGCTGGATTTTTATGCACCCCTTTAAATTTGAGTGTAATTTTTTTCAAATTTGTAGTTCCTAGAGTATTTTCCAGGATGAATCGTGGCAAGCAGGAGGAATAGGCAGGGTGGCTGTGTAGTGTTGAAGGAGTGGGTTCATCGGATGCTGGCAGCCCTGTGGCCCCTGCAAGGGGGCATTTTGCAGTGAATCCACCTGTAATGGCCCTTGCATGTCACCTCTCTGTGCAGCAGCAAGCTGGCAATGTGGGATGCCCTGTACTGTATGAAGACATGTGTGAGTTTGCTCCAAGCAGCTTAAATTATCCAGTTGTTTTTGAAAACATCTGTTCCCTGGATGTTTGTGACACTGTGGGGACAGCAGCAGGAGCTCAGCACCCTTGCTGTGACAGGGCACTTTGCACAAGCTGAACCCAGGCCCTGATTTCTCTGAAGGACCAACTCCCATCCTCAGGGCCAAGGGTGTCATGGAGCATCCCTGGGAGCTGTGCCCCTGGCCAGTGTGCAGGAGAGCTTTGTAAAACTGCCTTGGAGTACCTTTTGTTTCCAACAGGTTTGTACCTGCAGTAGCCGAGCCCAGCAAAGGGAGCCTCTGGGTGTTGCCTGGTTTCTGCCTGTCAGGGGAACAATATGTTTTTGTTGTCTTACCTGAAGAGAGAAGAAAAAATCTTGCAATCCAAGAGTCACATTTAAACGTTGTTTAACCTTGAAAAAACTGTAATGGAATGGAGTGTAAAATGTAACAACTGGCATCAAGAAAGAGCCCTTATTGGTGACCTGCTCCTATAAAGGCTTTTTAGGAACCAATCAGATAAATCATAAGTAAGCATAAACAGTTTCAGAATGTCTTAACCTACTTGTTTTAACATGCCTTGGCTCCTGATGAATCTTATTCACGCTGAATGGATTAGCTGTGCAGAAAAATATTTACGTTGGTGAAGGGTTTTGGTGCAAAGGCTATGTCAGTAAAATAAGTGCTAATGATTTCTGAAATTGTTGTGGGAGTGCTCTCTTCTTGGATACCAGTGACTGTTGTCACTGTCCCTGGAATGAGGCATGCGTTTAAGGAATGCCCTGTTTCATTAAGTGCTGCCTGTTTCATTATGCACTTATAATTATTCAGAACTACTGAAATGCCTGGATTTTCAGAAACTTTTTTTCCCCAATTACAAAGAGTGTCTTTCCTATGTGATCAGAAAAAATTACGTGAACATGGTTCAGATTATGAAATCCTATTTTTAAAAAATTGCTCATAGATTCTGTCTAGCTGGTTGTATTTTTTTTTTTAAGCAAATGAGAAAAAAAAAGAAGTGATAGAGCTCTTGGAGGACTCCTATAGCACTCTGGAGGACTCCTGTATGGCACTTTGCCCTTCTTCGGGGGTTGTCTCTGAGGTGGCAGCTAAATAAAGGAGCGTTTTCTGCTCCTTGCCCACGCAGCTGCCTGCCTGAAATTGTTCCTGCCCTTTGCCATCCCCTGGGAAGGGCTGGCACCTGACTCCCATCCATGGGAGCCTCAGTGGGACTGTGGGTCTGTCTGGGTGCTGCCAGCGGCTCCCGTCTGTCCCTGCCAGCCTCTCTGCAGCTTCCCTGTGGATCAGGCTGAGATTTGCTCTCTGATCGGCTTTTATTGCAGACAGAGCTGGGAGTTATTAAATCTCCATCCCATAATCCAGCCTCCAGCTCCCCCTGCCCCAAGTTATTTATGGCTATTTGCTGGGAGTTCTCCCTCGGAGGGAAAACAGGAGCATGTACTGCCAGCGCAGGAGAGCAGTGCCTATTCCCTTGCCACCACACTGCTGGAATGACTAACCCTTTTCCTGCCTGGGAGAAAAAAAAAACCCTGCCTTTTTTTTTTTTGATTTTGGAAGCTGTAACACACAGGAGTGATTTTTTCCAAGCAGAGGCTCCGTGTCCCCTGCCTTCCTCCCTGTGGCCTTGGTGCTACTCGATGCTCCCGAGTGCAGGAGGGTCCAGCCCAACTGTACAAGGGCACTGACATGCCCACTGGGTTTCCACGGGAGCAAAAAGAGCCCTCCCTCCCGTTTTCCCTCGCTGCTGAGGGCAGCACAGGGGCAGAGGTGGGGAGAATGGGCTTGTCAGTCCTGACTGTGCAAACGCCAAAACCTGCGTTCACAACAGGACTTTCAGTGGGGGGTGGAATCCTTCCTCCCTGTTTCTGGGAGCAGGATTGCAGCAGTGGGGCTTTGTAGAGGGGGTGTATTAATTGCAAGGTGAGATCTGATTGTGTGAATGATGTGTTAGTGTAGCTTTCACTGGAAGATTTGGGGAATCACCCCTCTGAACGGCAGCGTGGGCTGCTGAAAGCTCAGCCTGAAAAAGAGTTGGTTCCCCCCTCCTTTAAAAAGAAATAGCCTCATCCTCTGACATCATGGCTTTACACACTCTGCTAAAAAAAAACATGTCAGGGTTTGCCACGGAGGAGAGACTTTCCTACTCAGCCTGACAGCAGCCTCTGCATCCATCCCCACAGCGTTTGGGGCTGCAGAAAGGGCAGGTCCCATCCAGGATTTTATTCTTGGAGTGAAATGACACTGGTGACTGGCTGCGGTTGTCACTGCGAAGGGGCTGTCAGCCTATCAGGGTGGCCCAGGACACAGCTGGGATGTGGGGATGCTGCCCTGGGGTCTTGCATTTGGCCTGTGTTGCAGAGAACCTGAGCTCAGCTCTTCTGCCATTCAGCTGTACGCCTGCACTGTCACGTCACCGCTTCGTGGGGAAAATGCACGGTCTCATTTCATCGTGGTGTTATCAATCATGGTATTGTTGCACTGTTACAGCCCCTTCTGCTCTTCCTCTGCAAGCAATGACATGGAAAACTTCATAGCTTGTGCAGCCTCTGGCCGTGTCCCCTGTGGCCCAGGGCTGTGGTTTGGGATCAGGCTGGGTAGCTGTGCCCAGCAGCACCATCCCTGCCTTCCTCCCTGGCTGTGTACATAACTGCTGGGTCACTGAGGGTGTCTGAGTCAGGGAGATACACTATCTTTGGTGCAGGCCTTGACTACACGTGGCAGGTGGACTTTCTACACGAGCCATTAAATCGGCGCTGGTTTTATGGTCAGTTTAGAGTTTAATTACATTTTGATTGCATTTCTTTTGTGAATGGCATTTTTCATCACTTCCTGTCTCAAAGGCCCTGGAATATGGAGCACTTGCATACGTATGTGTTGCAGGGGGTGTTTTACCGTGGCCTTGGTCTTGTAAGACATAGTGCCAGCTTGGAGGTGAGTTGCTCTCAAGGCTTCCAGAACACCCTTGGCACAGAGCTGGCATGGGGTTTAAAAGGAGGTGGCTTTTCCAGTTTTGCTGAGGACAGAAAGCATGGGCAGGGTTTTATTTTCTTGGTCCTGCTAAGCTGAAAGCAAAAGTGATCCTGAAGGTGTGGCTTCAGTCTGAGCCATCTGCAGAACCAAATTTCCAAGGCAAGTAAAGAAACAAGGTGAGAATAGACTGGCAGCTGAGATGAAAGGAGTGAGAGGTGTGTTTGGCAAGAACCCCCAAGGACAAGTTGTATTTTTTGGGCATCAAAGCATCTCTGTCTTCCTGATGGTGAAGGTGGTTGTAATATTATGGAAAGCAAAACTGTTGGAAAACTAGAACCACCTCCTTTTTCCAGGGAGGTAAAGAAAGTTCCTGTCATTGGAAGCCACAAGGGAGAAATCAACAACTTTTAATTTGATGGAGGAAGATGCCACCTGCCCACAGCCAAATTCTGCCTGTCCTGAGCCTCTGGCTGTGATAGCTTTGGTCTGCTGCACTGAAATAATTTCTCAGCCTGGGATGTAGCCCCGAAACTGGTGTGGCAAGTCCTTCCCAATGTAAGGCTTTAAATACAAAGCACCTCTGACATCCACATCACCCCAGCTGGGACAGGGTGCCAAAAGAGGGACTTTTAGCTCAGCTCATGGATAGTCAGGAGAGCTGAGAAGTGGAGCAAGGGCTGGAGGTAGTGAGAGGCTATGGGCAGACCATTTTGAGTGGAAAAGAGGAGGCAATGGTGTGGGACTGGATTGTGCCGTGGGAAGCAGTAGGATGGGGTGGGCTTCAGCTCATGTACAGCTTGCCGGTTTTCCATGATTTGGAGTCAGAAGACAAGGCATGAAGCGTGTGGCTGTGTTGTGAGCTTGGCCAGAGCCCTAAAGCAGAGCTGGGGCTATACACTCTCCTTGCAGTTAGGGAGAGGTGTAGCCCCACCTGGGTGCCTCAGGGCAGTCTTCCACTCCGTGGTGGTGTGTGTTTGTCCCCAGATTGATAAATACCTCTATGCCATGCGGCTCTCGGACGAAACGCTGCTGGATGTCATGGCTCGCTTCAGGAGGGAGATGAAGAACGGCCTCTCCAGGGATTTTAACCCCACGGCTGCAGTCAAGATGCTTCCCACGTTTGTCAGGTCCATTCCTGATGGTTCAGGTAAGAAGCTTAGTGTTTGTTTTCCATGTTAAACATGATGTGCTTCATGGAAACCTGTTAGAAATACACCAGTCACCACCAAGAACAAGGGGGATTTGCTTCCTGGCAAGCCCAGGCAGCATTTTGAAGGCAGCTCCCCCTCTGTGTGCAGGTCTGTTCCTGCAGATGCTGGAAGATTTAGTGATTAATTATTGTTGTTACTTATAAATTACTTGGTGTCTGTAAAAAATAAATACTATATATAGAGAACATAAATATATTTATAAACATTATATAATAGTGTTTATTATTTAGTAGTGACACTGGGTTTCCTTCTCACGTAGCGTGAGGAGGTTAACCAGTTTGGTACCTACCACAAATGATGTCCCTGCGTGCAGAAATCGCAAGGTTGCAAGAACTGCATAACAGAGTTATCTGTTTTGAGGCTTTCTTCTTTTTTTTTGAGTTATAATCAAGAATTTATTGGTGAAAGAACATGAGGCCTGGTGCTTTGTGTAACTTCCTGGTGCTGTCTGGCAGGTGGAAATCTTTGATAGTTCTGCTTTGCTGTTGCTTTCTGCCACCTTAAGCATTTTAGTTGAGAATTGAGTCTCTGTCTAAAAAAAAAAAGCAAAGGGAGAATGAATATGAATGCTGTGTTCCCCTTAATTCAGCATTGCTGGCTGTTATGTTGAAATACTGTGTTGAAATTCACAGTCTGTTGAGAAAGCCAAAAGCTGCCACATACAGCCGGGTCACGGGCAGGGGTTGCACTGAGGATTTGCAGGTGAGGTGAGGTGATTTGAGGGCTTTTGCATAGAATCCCAGCAATTTTACTGGCTCAGAAATCCCTGTGTTTTCCTCCATGTGTGTTTGAGTTTAGTTGAGCAGTGACCTGTCCCCCTACCCTGCTCCATCAACCATTGCAGGGCAACAGGTCTGAGCTGCTGGTGGCGAGTCACATAATTCTGTGAATTGTTCTGTGGTATGAACTGGGAAGACTTTGAGATACCATATGGCACAGGAAAAAGGTGATGTGCACCTGGCCAGGAGAGGTTTGGGAGATTGCTGAATGCTGCTGGGACTGAGGACAAGTGGGTAGCCCTGGCTGAGCATGGGCATGTGTGTATGCCAAGGCATTAATTTCAGATCATTGTATGACACACCTACTTAAAAAAGCAGCCTTGTGTGTTGTGTACAGGGTGCTCAGTTCTTGATCCTGTGCCCACTTGGCTCCTGCCAGCCTCTCCAGGATGGGCAGGCCATGGGCAGGGCTTTGCAGCAGGGATTAGAGCAAGGCAGGGCTTTGCCCAGGCAATTTCTGTAGAACACAATAGTGATCCGTACATGCGGGTGGCGAGGGTATCTTTGGATAGCTGTTAGTGAAGCAGGCACAACCATTCCCTTCTTTCCCTGACAGGGCATATTCCAAGCCCAGGTATGAGCAATATTTGCTGTGGGTGGGTGTGGTGTTTCTTTCCCTGACTCACCCCCTTGTGCCTGTCACGCCTGGCTCAGCCACCGCACGGGTGCAGCCAGGACAGACATGGAGCCCCCTGCCCTCTTCCTCCAGAAGGTTCTGGGAGGCCCTCACGGATGTGGCTGTGTTGCTGTGCCCAAAGATGGCAATTTGTGCCTTCAGCTGTCCCTCCGTGAAAGCCAGAGGCTGAAAGCCTGCCCTTTTCTCTGGCCTGTCTCTCATTACTGCCTTGTAAGCTCTTTCCTCTGAGTCCAATTATTATTATGGGAGCTGACTATTCAGAAAAATACTGTTGTTTAGTTTCAGATCTTTGCTTGTGTACTTTTCTAACAAGGAGTTTGTGAGCAATAATTCTGGAGACCCTGAAGGTGTTGGTGTTAGCAGGGGTTTTTTTGCTTCATTCAGACTTGGTTTTATTTACAAAAGCCACAAGGCTTTTTTGTGCAGAGTGCCCAGAATGGTACCTTAAGCTAATTCAAAATGCTTTCAGAGGCTCTTCCTAGATAAATTCATGGCAGGTTTGATTGCACCTTGGTGTTGCAAAGCACAGATTAAATGCTGCTACTTGGGTTTAATTCCTGAAATACACTAAAAGAAAACCGCTACTTTGCATAAAGAAAGCTTTACATCTAGTTCAGAGATCTTTTTGAGTGACAAGGATAATTCTTAATAAATTTTACCTTGCAATGAGCTTGATGGTGCTGGAAATCAAGCATGCTAACCCATTAATTTTTTTACAGGGGAGATATTTCTGAAGTGCAGTATTTGTTTGAGGTATGTACTGATGTGCGTTTAGGCTTGAAAAAGGGCCATCTGCTCCACTGTTGATTTTCCCATTAGTGGAGGTAGTGGCTTGCACTCAACAGATGATACCTAAATAAGCTTTATCTTATGAGTATTTGGCTTAATGAGACACTTGTGGTCAATGTTTGACTGGTGGACTTGCTGTGGTGAAGGGGTTATGAGTTGCTGAATTCGTTATGCCGAGCCCATTAAAGGGAACTGCATCTCCTTTTGGATGTGTTTGGGTATGTTCACGTTTTAAATGACATTTGTACTGGTAAAAAAAGTGATATTTAAAGCCACACTACTCAAGAACAGGTAGGGAAGCACTGCAAGACCTGTGTTTTGGCAAACTGAGTTTGCCCGTGTCTTAAGCAGCAAGAAGGAGAAGTTGCATTGCAGCACAGTAAAATTGGGAGGATTATTAGAAGTTGGGGGCTCCCACTGCCATTTTGCTACATTTTTCTGTATGGAGCTTATTGTTCTTTGTGGTTTCTCATGTGACAGTGTTTTGTTTCTGTATTGCAACCTTGGAAAACCATAAGGGCATTTGCAGTGCTTTTGCCTCTCTTGGTCTGTTTCTGTTAAAGATCCTGCCCTGAGGGATGCCTTGTCCAGCTCATCAGCTTTGCTGAGCGGGATGAGGCTCCCAGAGGTGCATGGAGCAACGAGGAGGAGGAACAGCTCACTAAGCCAGACTTTCAGGAGTTTTGATCTGAGATTAGACAGAGTAATCTCAGAGGCAGGTCTGGCTCTGGAAATCCTCGTGGAGTTTGTTCGAGGTAACACGTCCAAACAGCCTTCCCAGCTGCCAGAGGTCTTTCCACGTTGAATTTAGGTAGAAGTGGAAAAACAGCAGTGTTAGGAGTGCCCTTCCTAAAGTCACAGCTGACAAGGAAGTAGGATGAGAAAACTCTGTGTGCCTTTGGTGGATGCCGTGCACAGACAGGAATGCCTGCAGAGAGCCCTGGGGGTTCCCTGCAGCCTGGGCACACACTCCTGGGGGATAAGCTGTGCACTCTGCCTCCATAAATACTATCTTTTCCAGGACTTTAACGATCACTGTCTTTGCTCTCTCATTGATAAGGTGAGATAACATTGATAAGGTGAGATAACATTGATAAGGTGAGTTGGTTAGTCAGATATATTTGCCTTGCTCTGCTGGGGGTGCTGAAAGTGTCATTCCTCAGGTAGCCAGGCCTGAACTGCACCCTGAAGTCTGGGGAGGTTGGAGGGTAGTGGATTTGCCTTCAGACCTCTCCATCATAGAGGGAGATGGAGGTATTCTAAGTATTTCTCTGGCTCCTGGGGAGGTATTTAGGAGCTCTGTGCAAGGCATCACAACTTGTGAATAACTCCTACAGCAGTACAGGGCTGTTTTTTCAGGCTGTTGTTTCTCTGACTTGTGTTATCTGACTGCAGTTTGCAGTGAATCTCAGCTTTTCTGGGTGCAGAGTAAGTGGTCCTACTTTAATTACATCTGCATATAATTTGTTGATTTTAGAGTAAGCACAATCCAGCCACTATTCAGGGTTATTTGCCAAAATGACACAGGTTTACTTACAGCAAAAGGCTGCTCATCAGTTGTCTGGCATCCCTTCATTTTACTGTCTGTTTTCTACATCTTTTTTGCCTTTCTCCTGAGATCTTTGATCTGGCAGCTTCATCATGAGATCTGGATACACACTGTCCACTGTTAGTCCAATCTTTTTGGATAAACCCTCATTGCAGTTGCCTGTGGTGGCTGGTTTTGCCATTCCACCAACTTCATGTTAAATTGCATGGATGCCCTGTGGGTAGAACTTCCTTGCTGTAGGCACTGGACATTCGCTTCTGTGTTGCACTTAACTTCCCAGATTTGTGCTGCATACAGTTTTTAATCACCCGTGTCTTGTTTTCCACGTAGAGAAAGGAGATTTCATTGCACTGGACCTTGGTGGTTCTTATTTCCGAATTCTGCGGGTGAAGGTATCACATGAGAAGAAGCAGACGGTGCAGATGGAAAGTGAAATTTATAACACCCCTGAAGATATCATGCACGGCAGTGGGACACGGGTAAGCTCCTCTTCCCTTGGAGGTTTCTGGAAAGATTAGCTGCTTAGATTTTAGGAAAGCCCCACAGGAATGACCGTAGCATCTTAACAGTTGCACCTATAGCGTGCATGGACTCGACTTCTGTGTTGATACTGAACATAAATAAGCAGTGTTTAGTGTAACAGAGCATGCATGGGTGCTGCAAACCTGCTGTCATCCTGTGGGAGACTTTTGGATGAGTTAGGGAAAAAATGACCAGGAAATAAAAATTCTGGCTTTTATAGTAAAGTTACTTTCCATGAGCATGAATGGAGAGCAGGAAAACAACTTAGTCTTTGTAAGCAATGAGCATGACCAGCCCTGCAATTGTAGTGTTAAGTGAGGGATAGAAATCCCCATGACAGCCAAATATCTGTGCTGGCAGTCTGAGCAACTCAGCACTCATGAAAAGTACAAGTACGTTAGAAAAATTACAGGAAGCTCATAGAATGTTTTGGCACAGCTTCAACTTAAGTTTTGCTGAATAATTGAAAGTTGTTTTTTTTTTTATTTTCCCCTGTTCCAAGAGTAGAAAATGTTTGGATCCATTCACTTGGATTTCAAATTGGGTTCTTTGGAGGAATTTATTTTCTTTTTATGATCAGGAAGGGGATTACAATGAATATTTTACTGATAGATTTGTCTCCGTGTCAGCATAAGGCAAAACAAATAATTTTCATTGTTGGAAACAGCAAGGTTTTTACACTTTTTACTAGAATGAGGCGCTACTTAGGAGTATGAGACCTGCAGGTAACTTAAAGCTTGTTTCAGAAGAATAAACAAAGGAGGAGAAAAAGAAAAATTCTGGGAACAGCATTTCTACCTTTAATATATTTTCTGTAGTCACCTTAATACCCTTAATGTATGTATCTGCTGCATTCTTATGCAGTAGTGAGTGTAAGGTGGCAATCATGGCCTGTCAGTAGAACTGGTGAGAGCATTACTGTGATATCTGAACCACAGCAGTAAAATAACCTTCTTGTAAAGACTTTTCCTACCTTACTGCTTTATTTCTGGGCCAAGAGGTCAGGCAGTGGCTTTCCCACAGAGTGGTTTTGGAGGGGAGCTGAGCTGAGCTGCCTGGTGCTGGTGGAGGCGGGGAAGTTGGGTGGGCTGCTCAGGGGCAGGTTGGGAGCAGGAGGCTGTGTGTCCATGGATGGGTGTGGGGAGACTTGATGGAGACATGATAAGGGTGGTCAGGAGAAGCCAAGAAAGGAGACATCAGGTCTGCTTTCTTTCCACGGCTGTGTCATGCTTGTGTTTTAATTTTTAAATACCCAAAGACCACTTGGCTATCAGGAAGCAGCAGCGTGGAGCTCAGGCTGATAGGCTTTGTCATGGCTTTTAAGCTGAAAGAGAGGCAAGCAAGGCTTCCACTGACCCCGTGGGCACAATCACTCCTGGTATTTGAGAACCAGGAGAAGAAGAACTGGAAGCATCATCAGAATTACAGCCAGGTTTGAAGTTGTCCCATGACAATATCCATTGCTTGCTCTGTGACTTCACAGGGCAGCATGGGGCATGCCCAGGAGGCACAGACAGATGATGGTTTGTTGCTTCTGACTGATGGATATGGTGGAGGTTTCCTGAAACCTCTAAACCAGGTTTGTGGAATACTTGGACTGAACTGCCTGTCTGGGGTAGGCTACTAATGATTTCCAGCAAGCTGTGTCATTAACTCAGGTGAGTTATACTCTTAAAGCTTAGTACATAATCAGCTTGTTGCAGGATTGTGATTTATGGCTTCATGGCTCACCAGCATGGTTCATTTTGATATTTTCTACTTCATGGCATTCAAACCTCTTTTTTTTCCCATCTGTTAGGCATGGGCTGACAGCTTTGCCAGTCATAGTCTATTCCTTGTCAAAATCAAGGGCAAAACTCTCATTGATTTCAGTGGTGAAATAGCAGGTCTAAAGTTTGTGAGAAGCCTGTCTCCTATGTCAGCTCAGCAAAGAGGAGCGTACCTGAGGCTTGATTTTGCTGTTGCTTTTTGTGTTCTGCTGCCACTGGAGGTAGGTTATGGATTTGTGGCTGTTCTGATCTGAAACTGTGGTTTCCTTGCTCCTTAAAACATCCCCATTTGGGAGCTTGAGCCTGAGCTCGGATCTTCAGTTGCTTGCCAACATCTCTCGTCTGCCAGCTGAATGTGTCCTTGTGGAGCCCTCTTGGAGCCCAGCCTGAGCAGGCAACTTCATGGCCAGAGGAATTAATGAAGCCTGATCTATTGCTCAGCATCTCATGGTTGTATTGCTTCAATTCTATAAATGTGTGGAATCAGACTGGTCCTTCCCTCTTGGCTGCGGCGTTCGCTCTGTCCATCTCGGACATTTGATAAAATACTTGGCTCACACTGTTCCCTACCACACACCTGTAGGTGAATGGGGATTTGGATTTTTCCTCGGTCCACCTGCCCTGCTTTAGTGAAATCCACAGGAACATTGTAATGTTCCCTCAGATTTCTGTCAGAGTCCTTTGGCACTGGCAAGGTTTGGATGTTAGCGTGGGCATGGGCACATACAGACACTTCCTTGAGCCTCCTTAGGGAAAGTCTTACGAACATCCATGGTACAAAATGAATAAGTGCCTGTCTGTTTTCTGCTTTTGGGTGGTGCCTTCCCTCTGTGCTGTGTGAAGAACAGTAGTTCAGCCAGGCTGTGCCTCACTGAGCAGACACAGCTCCTGCAGTGCCCAGGTTGTGGCTGATAGTTAACTGCACCTCCTGCCCGGGTTACGCTCGCGTGCCCACTGCCAGCTCAGAGCCCCAGCGACTCCAGAGCACTGCCAGCTCAGAGCTCAGCCTCAGCAGATCCTGCCAGGGCTGCCTGGGCAAACACAGCAGGTGCACGGGCTCTTTGGAGTCCATGGGGAATGCCCAGGGATTTTTTGCCTTTGGACTTAGAAAGCAGATCTCATCTCTGCTCTGTGCAGTTGTGGTTCGTTGCATGAGAGGGATTTTTGTAGCAACGTATATAGTCAACGTTTCTGCTTCCTGCTCTGTGAACTCCCCAGGGGTTTGATGTTGGCCCCTGGCTTTTGTTTGTAATCCTGGAAGCAGCTGAAAGTTTAGTAGTATTGAGTATTCAGCAAGATACTTTCAGATGAAAAGCATAATCAAAACACACACTCCAGCTCTTTCTGTGTTCCTCCTGGAGAAATTCTCATATTTTGTTACTTAACTATAGTTCTTTTCATAACTCCTCTTCCTCTCTCATTAATCTGAATAGCTGAAAATAGTCTTCCAGAAGTGCAGCAGTGTACATTCTTTCCCATGTTGTTTCACTGCGTGGGCTCAGCAAAATGTCCTTGATTTGCCCAGGACAATGAACGGCAACATTCTCTCTGGGAAACTACTGTTCTTCTGCTTAATCAAATCTGACCTCAATTAAAGAATGGGTTTAAGGTGTTCAGTTTAATTGTAACGTTACACACACCGATTCTTGACCTACCTCGAAGGGCAAAATATTCCTATTCAGCATTTGTAATTGCTGCAGCCTGTCTGTAGTGCATTCCCACCTCTCCAAGACTCTAAATTGTTCTTAATAAGGCCGTGTGGGCTAATTGGAACCACAACAGATGGCTTTTTGTACTCCTTGCCAGTTAGCCCCAGTCTCCTGGGCAGTTTACCTGGTCTTGTCCCACCAATGCTGCTGCAGATAGGGTTGGGGGTTTTGGTTGGTTGGTTGGTTTTTTCCAGGGAGTTAAAATGTGAAGCCCAGTTATCTCCTGGGGCGGGCAGTGACTTGTTAATAGTTTGCCATTCATTTGTGGTATGGGTCAGTTCAAGGCATGTCTGGCTTTTTGGTACTGGTAAATACAAATGTGTATGTTTGTTGCTTCAATTGCTTGGACTTGATTTCAGCTTTGAGTGTTGAGGGGCTTTCCAAAAGGCTTGGTGTGAGAGGCCTTTGTGCCTGCCTGGTTCCAGACCTGGCTGTCAGGGACACATCATGCAGTGGTCACAGGTGCCATCGAGGCACTGGGTGGGAATTGGTACCCACAAGCCCAGTACAGGCTGCCTGCATAGTTCAGCAGTTCGAAAAATGCAGAAAATGTCCCCATTTTGGGTTGTTTCTCAGAGCACGTAAAATATTTAGACGAATCCCTTGGGTGTTCTTTTTGTTTGTTTGTTGTGTGCTTTAGGAATAGATTTGAGAGAGGATGTTCTCTTGGGTGGTTCCTGCAGAGTGCTGGGTTCTCTGGTCTCAGCAATGCTTGAGTGAAGCAGATGTTATCTTCTCTGCGTCATTATAAAAGTGCTTAACCTCCCGTGGGTCTGGATCCCAAGTGTTCTTTTGAGATTCTCCTTCCTGTTGTTGAAAGGTTAAAAGAACATTTTTGATCTCATCAAATATTAAGTGGAAAGGTTGCAGCAGGCTTGAGAGCCAAGAGCCCCTTGTTTCATGAAAAGTGTTCTTATATGGGTGTAATAGATGCCTGCAGAATTAGGTGTGTAAAAGGACAATGTATTTTATAGTTTATTAATTATTACAATGTTAATGTACACTGCCTGAGAGTATTTTCATAGCTATGCCATTTATATATCTTTTAAAACCTGGAGCAGCAGCTATTTTCCCCTTTCCCCTCACCCCGTGCAGTTTTCATTATGGAACTTGAAACATTTTCTCCCTGAAGCTGTATATCTAATCATGGTGGTTTTATACCTTTCTTATAGCTTTTTGATCACGTTGCTGAGTGCCTGGGAGACTTCATGGAGAAACAACAGATCAAAGACAAGAAATTGCCAGTCGGGTTTACGTTTTCTTTCCCCTGTCGACAGTCCAAGCTAGATGAGGTAAGAAGATTTCACAATTCTCTTAATATGCAGAAGAGCTGCTGTGTTATTAAAACACTGCGATGAAAGCAGCATCCCAGACAGGGCTCATTTTGGGGATAAATGAGTATTATATTTCACTGGCAGACTGTGTTTGTGTTTATGTTTCTGCTTGAAAGAGCTGGGTAACATGAGGAAGAGGCATCTGATGTTTTGTGCTGTCCCTGGTGGGTGAGCTCCTCAGCGTTATGGTTTACCTCCTAAACACCGTGGTGGTTTTTCCTGCCTCCTGTGCAGCCTTTTTCACCTCTCCATGGGGTGTGACTGGGAGGGACCCAGCCCAGCAGGGTTTGCTCTGGTTTTGCTGACCCTCACAAGTGTACCCACGGATCCAGATCCAGCTGTCCCTACTGAGCATGAGCCATGTCCCAGACTGGGTGCACTGGTCACCTGGGGCCAGCCTGCTTTAAAAAGGGTGGGAATAACCAGCCTTGTGAAGTGACTGGCCAGATTCCCAGCACAAGGATGCTGTGGGATTTTCCTCCTTTTGCTCACTGTATCACGAGTGACTCAGCAGCCTCCCGGCACAGCATTGCCATGGCAACGGTGTAGCAAGTGAGTGCAGGAAAGTTAAACCTTCACCAAACGCAGAGGTTGCCCTGTTAAAGCCCGACCTGCTTTTCCAGCTTGCAGGTCTCTAGGTTAGCCTGGTGCAACAGCCCCCCAGATGCTGGTGCTGAGGGCCAGGTGAGGCACGATTTTTATTACATTTCATACTTGTTGAGCGATGCTGAGAGCTGAGCCCAAGGGTGCTGACTACCTCAGGGTCTCAGAACAGCTGCCTTTCCCTGCCTTGGATCAGGAGATATGAGCTGACCTTGGTGCGGCTCTCCTGTCTGGCCATGGTGCATGGTAAGGCTCAGGCTCCTGACCAGCTGTGCTGGGGGTGTGGCTGTGGAGTTGAGTTGCCCTTGGGAGGTTTGTTCAGCTGCACGATGGAAGGCATTTGTTTGTGGGTTGGTTTGCTGAAGCTGGGATGGAATGATGCTTGTGTGGGGCAGGGGCAGGCAGGCAGCATGTGGGGTGCAGGGGCAGAGTGCAGTGGGGGTAGTAAGAGACAAGGGAGGATGTCTCTTAATTAAAAAAAAACCAAAAAACAACCAAATCCAATAAAACCCCTCACCTCTCTTTCTGAGAGTTTTTGTAATGTTTTGGCTGTTTGAAAAATACATTTTTCTGGATTCTGTGGGCCAGCTTTGTTCCTGGGTTGCTGCTTCTGTGAGGCTGTGCTTGCCTGGGTGCTGTTTCGTTGTGCTTGGTGGGCAGAAGGAGGCAGGGTGGTCCCTAGTTTCTCCACGGGTGACAAGGTGGGCATTGCATGGTTGGGTCCCACTCGACCCTGCTGCACTCCAAGGGCTCCTTCCTGCTGCCAAAGCCTTGCTGGTAGAGCAAAAGCTCCTTCCAGCACAGCGTCACAGACAGCTGAGAGGAGCTGCTCGTTGCCAGTGTGGTTTGACCAGTTTCTTATAAAAGTTATGTGGAACAAGGTGCCCTTTAGCCCGTTAAAGCTGTGCCAGCAGAGAGGGCTTTGCCTGTGGTTTCCCTGCACAGCAGAACAGAGCTTTGCTGGGTTTCTAAATGATGTCAAATGAGGTTTCTAAATGAGGGCAACACAGTGACAAAACTTTAATAACCTGAGTTTGTGGTAGGAGAATACCTCCTGGTCTGTAAAGAGCTGCCCTGGCCCTCTGTCTCCTGTAGCTGTCCCGGTTTGGAGGGCAAATTTGATTTTTAAGCTGAGGTATGGGCAAACATACACTTGGGCAATGGCTGCTTGTGCCTACAGGCTTCAGCTTTCCTGGTTTTTAGCTTCCTGGGCTTCTGTTGTGACAGATGTGAGTATTGTGGGTATGGAAGGCTGAGCTGGTTTGAGTTGTCTTTCCTGTTGACTACTGCCAATACTCTTTTCTTTCTTTTATTACTATTTACTTGTATACTGAATGCTCTGATTCAGCTAGTCATTATGTAAATAGCAAAAGGTCAGATATACCTTGGGGGCTCTTCATGACAGTTTGCAGACAAGGAATTCAATGCCAGGATTTCCTTTTTGATCCATGCTGTAAACTGGGTACAGACATTGCTACATTTTCAGTATTTCCATTTGCCTCAGCCCATAAACGTGATCCCACAGTTAAACAAGCCGGGCAGGAGCTGTACAGTAGCCTGATCCCCACTGCCCTGAGTCCTGGACATACCAACAGCACATCCCTGCTCTGTGGTCGGTCCCGCACTGTCAGCTTTTTCTGAAAGCAGTCTATTTCCATGGTCCAAAAGGATTAAATGGTTTTCCAAGAAAAACTGTCGAGGAGTAACAGGGAGAAGAGTAGGCTGAAAATACGAAATGCAGACACACCACTTTCTAGCATGGGAGGGGAAAACAATTTTCCATCTTTCAGCAAACTGTGACTAGACTCAAAGACCACCAGTTGTCTCACATTGGGTTGTTAGGCCATATAAGAAAAGAGACATGAAGATTCATTTGCAGTATAAAATTTTGTTTTTAAGGAAAAAAAAGTAATCAGTGTGTGTCTTATTATTGTATTATGTTGAGTGTTGCTGTCTTGTTTTATCAGGGTATTCTGATAACCTGGACGAAGCGCTTCAAAGCAAGTGGAGTGGAGGGAGCAGATGTTGTGAGGCTGCTTAACAAGGCCATCAAGAAACGTGGGGTAAATTGTACTTTATTTCTTTTTAACTGGATCTCAGCTTTGTCGGGGACCACCTTTCATGTCACTCGCTTGGGTGGGTGGTCTGAGTGATGGTGGAGCTCTGCTTTCCTGCATGAAAAGGTGTGGTTTTGCCATTTGCTGGAAAAATGAAGTGACATCAGAGTTGTTGTGTGGAAGCTGTGATTTTCCTCACAGCACAGGTCTGAGTTGTTATGACATGTCTTTTCGCTGGCAACCTTCAGCAATTTTATCAGTCTCCAAAAACTGAGAAAGTGCAGTGGCTTTTCAGTGATACCAATGCATCCCACTCCTGAGAAACTTTGTCTCAAGTACTGGGCTCAGCTCAATTGTGCACCTGCTGTGCCTGGGAGCAGAAGAGAAGCAGAGAGAAGCGGGATTTCAGGCTCAGTGAACTGTGTTGTTCCCTGCAGTTTCTCACTGCTGACTTCACAGAGAGTGAAGGTTACCCGGTTGCTGATTTAAACAAATAAGAAGGCACTGAGCGTGAGATAGCATGAATTTGGGTTTGCATAATGCTTGCAGCCAGGTGATATGTTCATTACTCAGCATCTATATTCATCAGGAGCTGAGAGTATTTTCTCTCTTTGGGCAGCTGTGGACTCTTAAGCACACCTGAGTTTTGCTGTCACCAAACAACTTTACTATAGTCAGTTACTATCATTAGAGTTGGTGGAATCACACACTGAGGAATCTGGAAAGCAATGGGTGCATGTCGTGTGGTTAACTTATTTAATTGCATTATTTCTGTATTAAAATCTTCACTGGAAATAAAACTCCTGGTTTAAGTGAATCCTAGGAGAAATATTTTCCAGATTGGCTCCTCAAGCAACTGCTTCAAATCACTCCATGCAGAGTTCCTCCTCCTTCATGTATAGCCCTTTTCTTTCCTGCCTAAGGGTGCTGATGTGAGAGCAGGTCTCTGCTGTCTAGAATGATGCTAGTGCCGTTTTACTGTTTGCCTGGTGCATCAGTCTGCTCTTGTTGCCTTCTTGGGTACGTGGGATAGGGAACTGGCAGATGGAGCAGGGGATGTTTAGGAAGTTGAGCAGTGAGTGGTATTTGTCTCCTGTTCCTTGTGAAAGCAAACCAGTGATGAACAGGAGCAGTGTTTCCCACAGGGCCCCAGTGATGTCTGTTGCTCCCTCAGGACTACGATGCGGATATCATGGCTGTTGTGAACGACACCGTCGGGACGATGATGACCTGTGGCTTCGACGACCAGCGCTGCGAAGTTGGCCTGATCATTGGTAACACACATTGCTGCTGCTGCTGCTGCACGTGGCTTTTCTCCCTTTGCCTGGCCGGCTCAGTCAGCACCTTCTGATGTGCTTTCCCCAAAGGCACCGGCACCAACGCCTGTTACATGGAGGAGATGCGGCACATCGACCTGGTGGAAGGGGATGAGGGCAGGATGTGCATTAACACGGAGTGGGGGGCCTTTGGAGATGACGGCTCACTAGAAGACATCAGGACTGAGTTTGATCGGGAGATCGACCGTGGATCTCTTAACCCAGGGAAGCAGCTGTGAGTGAGGCAGTTATTTGGGAACTTTGCTTCTGTTCTTTTCTGCTCTGTGCTCCCTTTTCCACCTGTGTTATGAATTCTACAGTTCAAGAAAGCTTGACCTTGCCTGTGGTGAGGCAAACCTCTGGCTGGGCCAGGTGTTGCAGTGGCACAGCTAGGCTCCACCTCCTGGTGTTGCCCATGGATTCGTGAGTGACTGCTGTCCTCTCCTGCAGGTTTGAGAAGATGGTCAGCGGGCTGTACATGGGGGAGCTGGTAAGGCTCATCCTGGTGAAGATGGCCAAGGAGGGGCTGCTCTTTGAGGGGAGGATCACCCCTGAGCTTCTCACAAAAGGGAAGTTTGAGACAAAGCATGTTTCTGCCATAGAAAAGTGAGTAATCTATCCGTTTTCCCCTGGGCTTCACAATGACACTGAATGTTAATTTTCCAGCATCTCTTTTTGCTTTGTGGGGAGATGTGCTGCATTGGGGGTGGCTGCCATCCTCCAGTGCAGGTGCAGAGCTGGCATGTGGGGACCCCCAGCAGACTGTGTCCTCCTCCCCAAGATTTCTCCCTTTTTCGGTGTTGGGAGGAACTGCCAGTCTGCACAGCTTCGGGGTATGAGCTGTACTACCTCTCACCCTGCTCACAGAATCTCCAAAGTTGCTACCCCACAGCTAAACATAGGAGTGAATTGGCTTAGTGCCTCCTAGCAAATACTTGTGTTGCTCCTTGCTGTATCCCTGGGATTGCTGGGCAGAAGGAAAACAAGCGTGACAAGGCAGAGCATTCAGTCTCGTAGGCAGTGCCGGGTGCTGCACGGTGACCTCTGGGCTATGTGCCAGTTGGTTTTCTTAGGGTGTCATCACCCCTTTGGTCATTACTTACAGGCTCTTTCCCTGGTGTTTTTAAAATTCACATCACTGGGATAGTTTGTGCTGTAGTCACTGGTCTGGCTTTTGTTTTTGAAAACAGCCAGTAACTTTTACAGTGCCTGTTCCTCCTGCCACGTTTTACTCCTGTCCCTGCAGACCGTCTTTTCCAAATAGCTTTCCATTAAATGTGTCTGTTCATTTGTCTTAACCACAGAGGTCTGTGTCATGGACCAAGGTAACTTTGAACAGCAGCGAGAAAACCAGTTATTGAGAAATTCAGTTATTAAGAGTAAAATTTGCCCTGAAATCCTACCTCACTTCCTGAAGAGCACTTTGGTTATAAGTAGAAAGCACATCCCTGTGCAGCTTCAAATTTCTAGCTGGTGCTAGGAAAGTGCAAGAGTCCTTAAAAAGATGTATGGAGTGCAGTTAGTGACGACAAGATGTACTCCTTGTGTTTTTGTCTGGGAAATGACCGAGCTGGACGTGGAGAAGTTTTGCCAGAAGCTTTCCTCTCAGGCTGGATGCTAATGAGGGAAAAAGCAGTGGAAGAGGCAGAGATTCAGTGAGGTTGTAAAAGCCTGAAAAGAGACCCGTTAGCATGAAATTGCTTAGGCAACCTTCGCTCAGGGTTTTGTTTTTCACACTGGGCTTAATTTACTGAGACATAAGAGCGAGCGTGCGTGGGATTAGGTGTGTGCTCAGGCCTGTGCTGAAATGTGGGGCTGGTGCTTCGTGCTTGAGAGAAGCTGTTTGAAGTTTAAAGCATCAGCATGATGAAAAATATTTAATTCCTCCAGGTCCGTTTGTAGGTGGCATATTTGCACCAGGCTTTAATGGAAGGCTGTTTCCATCTGTGAATGAATGCATGTTTAGAGCATTTTGTTTCAAGCCTCACAGAGCTTCCCAGTCCAGATCTCTAAGAAATTCTCTTCCTAACCTTGTCAAGCCCCAGGCAGGGACACCCGTGGTTGGATGCACCTCAGTCCTCGGTACATCCCCGCTGAGGAGTCCCCTCTGCTGCTGTCTCTTTGTAGGAGCAAAGAAGGTTTGAACAAAGCCAAAGAGATCCTGACGCGGCTGGGGGTGGAGCCGTCCCACGAGGACTGCATCGCCGTCCAGCACGTCTGCACCATCGTGTCCTTCCGCTCCGCCAACCTGGTGGCCTCCACCCTGGGTGCCATCCTCAACCAGCTGCGGGACAACAAGGGGGTCGGCCGCCTCCGCACCACCGTGGGCGTGGATGGCTCCCTCTACAAGATGCACCCACAGTGAGTCCCCGGTTTGGGTGGGAGAAGAGGAACTCAAAATGTAGGTGTCTGGGCTGAGCTGGGGAGCTCAGGGGAAAGCAGAGATGTCTTTAAGTGAAGGAGCAGTGTGAGATTTTAAAAACCACACAGAAAAGAACTAGATCCCTGAGTAATTGGGTACTGCAGCATCACGGAAAGCTACAGTGGTCTGAGAAGATACCTTAAGGGATCTCAGTAGACCTCTCAGAAGGAGAGTTTCTTTGTATGAAATCTTACTTCATGCCCTTAGTTTGGGCTATGAAGAGACCCACATAAATTCACCTTCATAACCTTTTCCAGTTTAAACTCAACTGGTTTTAAAATGGCCATGCTGAACCCTATTTTTTCTGGTCTTTTCTGAAGATATACTTGGAAACCAGGGGAAAAAAATTGTGCTTACATTTCCGTGGCCTTTAAAAAACTGGCTTTGTCTTTTTTTTCTGCATCTTGAAAGTGAATATTTTTAATCAAACAATATTTTTAATCAAATAATATTTTAATCAAATAATATTTTTAATTTTTAAGCTGCTTAGAGTTATGTAGACATCAGAAAGTGTCATTTATGAGGAAACTTCTGAAAGGAGAAATATGGTTAGTGTTTCATTTTCAGTTTCTCATTATTTTATTGAAAACAGTTTTTTCCTCAGTTAAAGAAAACCATAAAATTTTGGCAAACAAAAGGATTTCCAGGAATCCTGTTTTGACTAGTTTTTCCAGATGGGCAGGTCTAGGGAGTGACAGGACCTGAGGGAATGGCCTGAAGTTGTGTCAGGGGAGTTTTAGGTTGGATATTAGAGAAAGGTTCTTCCCCCAGAGGGTGGCTGGGCACTGAACAGGCTCCCCAGGGCAGTGGTCACAGCACCAAGGCTGACAGAGCTCAAGGGGTGTTTGGATGATGCTCTCAGGCACAGGGTGTGACTCTTGGGGATGGGCCTGTGCAGGGCTGAGGGTTGGACTCAATGATCCTTGTGGGTCCCTTCCAACTCAGCATATTCTGTGATTCTGTGAAGATAACATACACGGGCAATTTTGGTTTCTGAACTATTTCCCCACACCATCTAAACCAGTGAGTTCAGGAGATGACCTCAGGAGGGGGATCAGAGCAGCAGGGGAGACAGGGGATTTCTCCCATCTGGGGTCGTGGTCAGGGGATGGGACTCTGATGCTCTTCCCTGCTTTTTGCTGGCTTTGCTTAGAAATTCCGGAGCAAAGAGGCCATGGGGAAGAACTGCTCTTCCCTGGCAGTTTTCCTGCTCGGGAGGCTGTAGGTAGTTTGGGCACGACGAGTGTCCTCCCTGCCTGCAGTCAGTCCGTGCTGGCAGCGCGGGTTTCGGGGGGAGCCCGTGCAGACGTGGGGCTCGCAGCCTCCTCTCCCCCAGGTACGCCCGGCGCCTGCACAAAACCACGCGGCGCCTGGTGCCCGACTCGGAGGTGCGGTTCCTGCTGTCGGAGAGCGGCAGCGGGAAGGGGGCGGCCATGGTGACGGCCGTGGCCTACCGGCTGTCGGAGCAGCACCGGCTCATCGACGAGACCCTGGCCGAGTTCAAGCTCACCCACGAGCAGCTGCTGCAGGTCAAGAAGAGGATGAGGGCGGAGATGGAAGCGGGGCTGAAGAAGAAGACTCATGAGACGGCCAAAGTGAAAATGTTGCCCACCTTCGTCCGCAGCACGCCGGATGGGACAGGTAGAGGCATGGCCTCGCTGGAGGGAGGACACTGGCTCGGATGTGGGGTGCCCAAAACCGGCTCCCGGCGGTGGGGTTTGCGTTTGAGTTTGATGGAGGGGGAGCAGATCTGGTGCAATCAAAGAGGAACCTGGGCTGTGCAGAGGAGAAGATCTCAGCCTGCACTGCCCTGGGCTGGTTGCTGGCCCCATGTCCTTACCCCAGGGTGCAAGCAAAGCCAAACTTGAGGGGATAAAACCACAGTCGGGCTCATAAACCCAAACCCACACGAACCCTGTTTGCACTAACTGGGCAGTTCTTTGCCCGTCAGCGCGGCCAAATTTCTTCTTTCTCTCAGGGAACAGTTGTGTGGGTCCTTTTTTCCTTGTCAGTTTAAAGCAAAACAAAACCAAAAATAAAACAAAAACAAACACAAAAAAGGGAGGTGGAATAATCAGAACAGCATCTAAAATCCTCCTTTGATGAAGATCGTCCCAACTGAGTTTCTTGGAGATTTTCTATCAAAGTACTTTCTGGAGAAAGCACTTTTTTAGATTTTGCTTATGGTTCTTTGAATATACACACATGTTCTTTTACAGAAAACGGAGACTTTCTGGCACTTGACCTTGGAGGGACAAACTTTAGAGTTTTGCTGGTGAAAATCCGCAGTGGTAAAAGGAGAACAGTTGAGATGCACAACAAGATCTATGCCATTCCTATAGAGGTGATGCAGGGAACAGGAGAAGAGGTATTTGTGTTTCTCTCCGGCTGCAGTGCTGCTTTTTAAATAACTTCTTAAGAGCAAGTAACATGTACACCTTCAAATAATATGACTTTTCTCTTTAAAGCTGTTTGATCACATCGTTACCTGCATTTCTGACTTCCTGGATTATATGGGGATAAAAGGTGCACGTCTTCCTCTTGGCTTCACCTTTTCCTTCCCTTGCAAGCAGACCAGTCTGGATGCTGTAAGTTCCTTAGTGTCTTTTGAATCTGCTTTTGTGCCTGTGCCAGGCCTGGTTTCTCTGTCTTCATATCATCCACGTGACACTTACAGGAAGGTTGTACAAGGGGAAGGTTTATGCTCTGACCCTCATCAGTACAGCTGCTCCTATAAATAGTTCCTTTAAGGGTAGTAGTGCAAATGCTGCTCAGCCCATGGCTGTGAAGATAAGAGCATTTAAATTTTCCGTGGTGCTGATACCCCTTTTTTAAGGCATTGTGCTTTTTCCCAGCATATAAACCTGCTGCTCTGTGATACTTCCCTAGTTTTGCAAGCAGTAAGCAAAAGTCCATCCCTCACCTATTCCTAGTTCATCTTGTCTCATGGGATGGAGCAGATGGACCAGGGCCTGTGGGCTGTGTCACCCTAAGGTGACAGTGTGGCCTGCAGCATGTCCCTGACAAGTGTGCCCTTGTTCTTTTCTCTTAGTGTTTAACTTCTTCACTGCCACGGATTTACACCAACCCCACCTGTGCAGCTCTTAATACTTTCCTGTCTACTTAGCTGTTTGTTTTGAAGAAAGACATTTTTTCTGTCACACTCTTTTGGTTTTTTGGAGTTTGTTGTTCCTGTCACACTTTTTTTTTTTTTTTTGAGTTTCATGCATTGCTCTGGAAATTCGGAGACCAAGCACAATTAGTAGTTTTAGATGCAAATTCCACGTATCTTTTTCACAGAGGCTCTTCTGTAAAACCTCAAACTAAATCATTTGAAATATGAAGTGCAACTTCTGAGTCTTAGCAACTTGGTAACCTATTTTCTTGCTTTTTAGGGTATCCTTCTCAATTGGACAAAAGGCTTCAAAGCTACAGACTGCGAGGGAGAAGATGTGGTATATTTGCTTAGAGAAGGAATTAAAAGAAGAGAGGTGATTTTTCTTTTGGTTTTGTTTTCTTTTTTCTCCTCCTACTCCTCCCTCCCCTCCAGACTTGACAGACCTTGTGGGTCAGGCTGGCTCCCTCTCACAGGGCTTGTGTGCCTTGTGGACATGAGCTGTATCTCCTGTCCTGCACAGAAGGTTGTTTGTTTTTTTTTTTCTCCAAAGGCTTCTAACTTTCCAAATTTGCCCAAACTTTCAAGACTTCTTTCAAAACCTGTGGCAGTTTCACATGCATCAGAGCATGGAGAAAGCAGGAGTTTTCAAAATGGTGATTGTAGGAATGCACCCCAGTGCACCCTAAAGGACAGTTTTCCCCCCTCCCTTCCTTGATCTTTAAAATGTTTAACCAGCTTAGCCAAAACTTTCTTGGAATGGAAGAAAAATATTCTGAGGAGGACATTAATTTTGCAGAGGTTTTGTCAGCCAGTGAAAAGGAGGTCTTAAAACCTTTGTTACTGGATTTGCTACCTCCTTGCTGTAATAGAGAATGTTGATAGTCCTCTACCATGTGCCTCTGAACAAGATCTATACATAACATACCTAAGCCAAAGAGAACAGCCAGGAATATTCTTTCTTCTGGAGACAGTTTGTCATAGGTACAACATGTGAGGAGCCTTAGCTGCCTGCTGGTAGATTAAGTTCCTATTTCTGTGTGTGTGAAATCAGGATGGTAATTTTAGTTGTTTGTTTCCAGGGTGCTTTGACAGCATCCCCTTTGGTATGCTCCTTTCATGTCCCCCTTGGTGTGATGGTTGTCCCAAGCCCAGAGTTCTCACTGTTGTATTTCTCTCTCCCAAAGGAATTTGACTTGGATGTGGTGGCTGTGGTGAATGATACAGTGGGCACAATGATGACCTGTGCTTACGAAGACCCAAACTGTGAAATCGGGCTCATTGTGGGTATGTGTTAGAGCTGCTTTTTATTTTGAACAGCACGTCAACACATCTGTGTGTATTCTCATGGAGGCATCCCTGTGGTTAACTGAAAATAAAGCCAGGGTGTTCAGGAGTGAAAGAGCAAAATTCAACAGCCAGCTTAGTTCTGCCCGCAGTCAGTTGAGATAAGCAGAGGCTGTGGTGCCAAACAAATCCTGCCTGTTTTATCTAGTAAAGGCTCTGTGCTGCTTGAGAAGAGAGCAGAGGTGGGCTCGGGCAGCCTCACCAGCTCCTGGAGTTTCTGTTAGTTCAGCCTGTCAGAGTTTCCCTGCCGGGGTGTTCCGATAGCCCACAGCTTCCCTCAAGCATGTGGTCTCTCAGAATAAACTTGCAAAGCACAGCCACAGTTCCCAAATGGCATGTGATGGAGAGCTCTGATAGGCAGAGTGCAGTGACTGAGAGCTGCCTTCCCAGCAGCGAGACAGCTGAAGTAATTCCATGGGTGACATGCAAATGCCACACACCCGGGGAGCCTGAGACACGGGGCGGTGTGAATTCCCAAAGCTATCCAGAGAAATGAGTGTTCTGTGGGAGAGAAGGGGCCGAAGCACCTGCAAGCTTTAAGTTGTGAGGTGGCTTGTAGGAGAATAAAACGCCACCAATTTCTCCTCCAGACAGTTGGAAGGTGTCCAGGATGAGTCAGCACAGTGCAGTGTGGGTAGGAAGTCGTGTCTGCGCAGCTCCATCGGTGGCGTGTTTTCAGGAACCAGAGTTCCCTACGGGAAGGACAGCGTGTCCTTGGGGCACTGGGAGCATCCTCTGAGGACTGCCTGCTGCAGCCCTGCCAGGCATGCTCTGCAGCAGCGTGTCTGTGTGCAGAGCAGGGGGTCAGAGGTGGTCTGGGTACTTCTGGGATGATGGGAGTGAGAGCCCTGGGCTCTGACAGGCTCCCTCTGCCCTGCCTGGATTGCCTGGGCCAGGCTGGTGGCACCTGCTGGGGGAGGTTGGACACTGGTGGTGACCCACAGCTGGGTTTGGTCTGCTTTGGTCCTGCAATCCTGAGTCTCAGTCTGCAAGCCCAGACATCCCCCCCACACCCTGTGCTGTGGCTCATCTCTCCTGCAGCAGGGAGTACTGTGGGAGGATCTATTTTAGCTCAGACTGTATTGATATATTTCCCTACAAAAACGGCAAAGGAAAACAGACTTGCTGATATAACTGATGCAGAATCTGTGGTGCAGGGTTAAATGGAGTTTCTTAGGTAACTTCAAGAAAACCTTTGCCCTGAGTAGCAGCCAAAGCTGCCTCTCATTGCTAATAAAGCTTTGCTCCCCAAGACCTCTGTGTACAGGGAGCACTTGCCACACTCCTTAGGGTCTCCTTTAAGCAAAATCAGGTATTGCATCATTTCAACATGGAAGTAACCTTCCTGCCAGAGAAAATAAGCAATTTAAATCAGAAAAAAACCCAAGCAGTCAGCTGGTAAAAGCCCTGATGCCTCAGATCTTGCTGAGGTTTTCAGTTCAGCACATTTTCCCCGGATTCTCTGGGTTTGTGGGCTTTGTGGAAGGGTGGTTCCTAACTGCAAAATCCAGTTGGTTGCTTGCTGTGATTTTGGGTTCAGAAACACCATGAGGGTTGGTGGACCAAAAGTGCTGCCCTGCTGCCCCTCCCTGCAGCATGGAACCCTCATGGGTGGCCAGGGTGAGACTCTTCTCTGAGCCACCCTGAGCTGTGCAGCACAGCAGAAATGTTCTCCTTCAGTTTAGGATTACTAAAGTGTGGGGTTTGGGTTTTTCCCTGATATTTTCAAATGATGATTTGACTTGGTCATTCAGAAAGAAGCACGATCGGGATCCCCCAGAAGACTTTTCAGGGCTGTGGTGCTGGTCCTGGTGTTGCTTTGTTCCAAACAAAGAGCAATGTCAGTGTTTTCTTCCTCCAGGAACGGGCAGCAATGCCTGTTACATGGAAGAGATGAGGAACATAGAGATGGTGGATGGTGAGCAAGGGCGGATGTGCGTGAACACGGAGTGGGGAGCGTTCGGGGATAACGGATGCCTGGACGACATCAGGACAATATATGACAAAGCAGTTGATGACTATTCACTGAATGCTGGAAAGCAAAGGTACTTTGCTATAAATGCTGTAAATTGTGTGCTGTGGATGTAAGCCAGGCTGCCTTAAATGCTTTTAAGAGAGAATTGGATTTCTCGTGGTCGGAGAAGGGAGAGGTGGAAAATGACTGCAGCCTTGCTGTCCTGTGGGATCTTCCCTTCCTGTGCTTTTCCTGGTCCCTGCTTCAAAAGTCTCGAAATTACAAAGAAACCCTTTTTCTCATCCTGTGCTGTACTGAGGGGGTTAAGATGTCTTGTCATTCTTTTGCTCTTAGTCTCAGGTTAATCTCTTTTAGCTGAACTCTCTTTTTGTGCCTGTAGAAATCCTGAGCCTGTACCAGCTGGTGTGGTTGGAGCTTGGAGCTGCTTGCTGTAAAGCAGTCAGGAGCTTTCTAGCAGTTGCAGCCAGTTGCAGGCTCTTATTTCAGGCCATTTTCTGGATGAAATGTGTCATGTTAGAGGACCTGCCTTTCTTGGTCCTGGAGTTTGGTCCCCTTCTCGGGGTTCAACTCCTGTTTGGGCAAGTGCTTCCCTGTCCCCTTCAAGAAAGGGCTAGTGGGAGGTGTACCCAGCACTGATAGAACTGGGCTGAAACTGCTGCGTGCTGGGACTACACTTTTTCATCATTTCTCTGCAGCAATGCTTTGATGCCAGGAGCTTTTGAAAAGATTTTGTGATTAGAGTAAATCTGCCCAAAAACCTGGGGAGTACAGACAAGTTGGCAGGTCCCATGGGAAGCTCTTTAGAAGCTGAGGCTCAAACAGACCCAGAGAGGCAGATGCTGGGCGAGCCTGATGCAGCAGCAGAGTTGGCATGGAGTAAGCAGCCAAAGGCAGTCATGGAGACTGCCAGGGGGAATAATTTATTCCTGAGATAGTTAGGCACTCAAGAGGGAGGACTCTCGCTGGGTACAAGTCTGAGAGAGTTCACAGTATTAAATGGACTGTGTGGCCCACTTCCAGCAGAGTGGTGTGCTGGGCTCTGCTCAATCCAGGGCACTGACACTGCTGTAGAGCTTCAGGAGATGAAATAAAGGAGGCATCACTGAATGGCCCTGCTCAGGAAATGGAAGAGCGTTCAGTTTGTTGGTAAGGACACAACTCACGGACCTCAGAAAGCTCCATTCAAACCAGGATGGTGCTGGAGGGGCAGGAATGCAAAGCAGGGCTGCCCTGTACCAGTGCTGAGCATCACTCCAGGACCACTCCTTGTCATGTGCTGGGAGGAGGTCTGCAGGTGGAAGATGTTCCCTCTCTCTAGCCTGGGGGCAAACTTGGGTCCTGTGTGCAGAGTGGGGTGTGAGAGGGGTTCAAGACAGCTTGGTTCCTCCCTGTGGTTTTGGGACTACTGGTTTCCTACTGGAAACCAGGTGCTGGATTTAAGTGGAAGAGCATAAGCCAACCCTGGACCTCCAGCTTGCTGGTTTATGGGTCAGTGGTCCTGTGAACATGCCAGACGTACCTTTTCACATCCTTTATCTTCCACAGGGTTGGTTTTGCAGCACAGGACTCCCTTAAAAACACTGCACTTGCAGTGACTATACCTTGTGGTTTCCCTGTAATTTTGCTGCATGGAACCACTGAACTTTTTCTATTTGAAGGTCTCAGCCTTGCTTCAAGAGGGCTCCCAAATGTGGAGACAAGTTTTCCTGGGGTCCACTCGGGGCTGTCCCTGGGGGATGCGTGGCTAATGTGCCTTTTGACTGGGCACCGTTCTGCTCTCTGGAGAAATACCAGCCATCGTTAACATGCCTGGCCAGGGGAACATGGCACTGCGAAATTAAAGGAAGTGTCTGTAGATGGGCTCATGAGGCTTCCCACCAAGTCTTCATGCTTTTTCTTGCCTACTTTTTCTAGTAAATGGCCTCTCTGTGTGAATGGGGTTGCGTATCTTATGTCCCCAAAGTGTGTGGGCAGGACACCTGGCTGGTGACAGACCTGTGATGCTGCCTTTGCAAACGTGAGCAGGTTCCCTCTGAGCTGCACCGCTGCCTTTCCTTGCAGGTATGAGAAAATGATCAGTGGGATGTACCTGGGGGAAATAGTCCGCAATATTTTGATCGACTTCACCAAACGGGGGTTCCTGTTCCGAGGCCAGATTTCGGAGACGCTGAAGACCAGGCATATCTTTGAAACCAAGTTCCTTTCTCAGATTGAGAGGTAAGAGCATGGGAGGCTGCTCAGTGTGAAATACTGTGGTGGTGCTCGGCTGGTGACACTCCTGAAGGGGAGGGACAGCCGGAGAGCATTGCTTGCTCCTACAGAGGTTATTTTGGTTTCAGTAAGAGCCTCTGTGTGTGTGCAGAAGGACTCTTTACAGCATCATCTGAATTTCTATCAATGCTCACTGCTAAATCCTGGAAAGGGCCATTAAGGATTCCCTCACTGTATTGTTTTATTTGCTTGTTTGGAAATCAAGCCATTTTCCTGGGCCCCTTGTGTGTGTGTGGGTATAGTTGTGGGATGGAATGAACACTAGCTGAGTGGGCACTTTTTACTGGGTGTTTTTGTGTTTTTATTGCTTGGGCTCTGTATTTTAAAGCAATCTCTGAGTCTTTATGGGGGAAAAAAACCCCAAGTTCATAATGAAAAATATTTTCCTGAAACGCCCCATGGTAAGAAAAGAGAAGGGGAGGCAATGCAGAGCTGGACTTGGAGCCTCTGTGGCTGCTTGCACCCCTCTCCTACACTGCAGCCATGGTGCTGGGGCAAATGAATTTGCATTCCCTGAGGTCTGTAGTGCTGCCAGGAAAGGCTGCTGCCTGGTGGGGGTGCGTGGATGCAGCCATGGGTGCAGTGGGGTTTGTGGCACTGGCTTGTGTGAGGAGAACCTTCAGTTTTACCACTGTGCTCTCCTTCTGCAGTGACAGGTTGGCCTTGCTGCAGGTGCGAACCATCCTGCAGCAGCTGGGGCTCAACAGCACCTGCGACGACAGTATCATTGTCAAGACGGTCTGCGGGGCGGTGTCAAGGCGAGCAGCTCAGCTGTGTGGTGCTGGAATGGCTGCTGTTGTAGATAAAATTAGGGAGAACAGAGGGTTGGAGCGCCTGGAGATAACGGTCGGTGTGGATGGCACTCTGTACAAACTACATCCTCAGTGAGTATCTGCCTTCTCAGCGGTTGTTTGCCTGTAGCGCGTTGCGTGTACATCCCTTCTCTTGACACGCCAAACTGGGCTCTGCTACTTGCTAGGATAAGAGCCAGGGAAGAAAAAGTCTTAATCAGGGGGTTCAGGGCTTTCTGAAGGGCAACAAGAGGGTCAAGAAGGACTTGTGAAAGGTTCTTGGGGTGGTGACAAACTGAAGGGGACACAGCCTTTGCTGGATGAGTTGGAAGCCGTACAGCGAGGGAAGGGTCTCTTGGATGTGCACAGGGAATGACAGAGCAGTGCTGAAATGCCTGGTGCCTCTGTGGAGGATGTTTCTGTTCAGGGCACAGCGGAGATGGGGTACTGAGGAGCAACGCAGGTGAGGGCAGGAATCTAAAAGAGCAGGGGCAGGAGGAGAGGACTAGTGCCCACCTCCAGTGTGCATGGAGGGAGATGGGTGGGAAGGAGATGACTTATGTGGTCTGTTCTCTTCCCTTTGCTGTGGTAGTAGTGATCTGAGTTAAACCCACACAGACAGAGAGGCAGGGCTGGGATGCCAGTGCTTCTTTCCTTTAACTCCTACTGCGTCCAGTCTTCAAATCCACCCTAGTTTCCAACATTTCAGTTCTCTCCCTGGTGAAAGGGGATGCAGCGCAGAGGCCCATGGCAGCGCTCTGCTCTGTGTGTGCTGCGGGGCCTCCCTCACCCACTGCCCGTGTTTCCTTTCACAGCTTTTCGAGGATCATGCACCAAACAGTCAAAGACCTGGCACCCAACTGCGACGTGACCTTCCTGCTGTCGGAGGACGGCAGCGGGAAGGGGGCCGCGCTCATCACAGCGGTGGGATGCCGGCTGCGCGAGGCCGAGCAGAACTGAACTCCACAGCCCTGGCCCCGATTCTGTCTTGTGAGCACTTTCTCATAAAGCAGCGACTGCATAGTCAGAACTGGTAAAAACCCAGAACTCACTGCTTTATCGGGGGAAAAAAAAAAATTACAACTAATGACATAAAAGAAAAAAAATAGGATACAAGATAGAATGTGTGCTGTTAATAATATCTCCTGTTTCTGGACCCCAATCTGCATGTTTCTTACTCACCTTGTTGGTACCTTCCCCATCTGTAGGTCATGGAAAAAATCAGTCTATAATTTCTGCAGTTGTCAAAACTCGGTTGTTGTCTGAGATGAAATTGCCCCCAAGTGATGTGCATTGAGAGCTACCGTTGCATCGTACCGAGTGTGTCCTTTGCAGCATCCCTGTGAGCGCACTGCCAGCACGCTGACCACCAGACCTGGGTGTTGATGCTTTTAGTGAAGGGGAAGCAACAGTTCCCTCCTGCATATCTACCTGCTGTTGTTCCGTCTAAAGCGATTGTGAAAACATTATGGTGTGTCAGCACTGTGCACGCAACTCTATAGTGGGACTTGACACCGCGACTTACTCGCTTCCTTGATGCCTGTTCTGTCATGGTAAAAGTAAACGCCCTTGTCCCACAGATCTGGTTCCACTGGTATTTCCCATTGCTTCTGTGAGCAGTGTTGTGTTACTGGGCGAAATCCGCCACGTTTCGGCAAGAAATCCCCAAAGAGTAAAATGAAGTGGTTGGTGATTGGGGTAATCCAAACCTCCAGACCTGCGACATCGGCAGATTCGTGGTCCCTACACGGCTGTGCTGTGCTCTTCTGTTTAAAAGTTCTTATAAAAAGTATTTCCTATCTCTTCTCGTTAGTCTGGATCAGGGCACTGCTGCTGCCCTTCCACGGAACCTGCAGCTCGCCTGTGTCCCTCGGATGCGGCGCTTCCGTCTCTCGCCTTAAATGGGTATTTGCTTCCACACAGAGCTTTAATCTTTAATACTGTTCAGCAATCACTCAGAACACAAACACTCAGCTAGAGTTAGTGCTCAGAAAGGAATAGGAGGGTTTGATTTTGATCTTGCCTTTGAGGACCTGGGTGTGTAGACAACCCACCAAGCCAAAATTGGACACAGCTTATTCCAAGGATGAAAGCAACAGCAAAGATAATACACACTTGGTGTCCCCTGTCCTCTGTCGAGTCGATGCCATTATTATACTTGCATCAGTTGCATTACTGAAATTGAAAAGCAGTTAGGAAGGTAAACGTCGAGTAACATTTGCAAGTCACACCACTTTCTGCAAAGAGGGAGACCACACAGTAGTCCTTAATTCCCACTCTTCTACCAAAAATGAATTTGAGATATCTGCATGGTTTTCCCTGCTGCCTTTTCCTGCAGAAAGTAGATGGAAATTTGCAGGCTACTCCTCTTTGTCCTCATTCCACTCCCCTAAGATTTGGATTGCCCTACCTATTGATAACATTTCAATATGCATTATGGTGCACTGTGAGTGAATGTTGTAAAGTAACATGTGAGTCACAAACAGTCATTGCAGCTTTAAGTGTGTGTCTACCTGAAAAATTGCATGCCTAACTGGTTTTGCAAAGGTAGAGAGTCTTTTTACTTTGCACACTAGTAGCTCTGGTACTAGTGTTACGTGATACTTGTGAAAATATTAAACTTTTTTGATGTGCGTTAACTGGTGTTTAGTGGTTCTTTCTGGAAGAGGTGCTGTTGGCTGGTGGCTTAGTGCTTTGGGAAGAGCTATTGTGTAGGGAGAGCTGCAACCTAATCCCAGTGGTGCCTGTGTTTTGTGTGTGTGTTTTTATTCCCGGGCATTCGGGGTCAGATTCAAACAGGGTGGATTTCACCCAGGTCCCCATGCCTCGTGTTTCCTAATGTAGTTCAGCAGAGGCACAGCGCTGACAACGCCCAAATCTTAGGGGGCACGTAGCTTGTCTGGGGGCACCTCGTGCCCTGTCTTGTGCAGGGGGATCTGCAGTGCAGGAAAACCTCAGCCCACTGCACCGAGGGCAGTGTGATTATATTAGGCTTTGCCAGATACACGGTGATGGATACATCATGTCACAGTCGGTGAGCTCCCTGTGTGCAAAGGGTTAACGTTTGCAGAATCCTGGTGTCAGGTGCTCGTACACCACTGGTTGGCACAGCCTGTGTTGGAGTTGTTGTAGGTGAAAGCCCCTTTTGCATATACTAGAGCTGTGCTTCTCCAATAACCCATTTTACGTTACAGCTTGAATAGTCTCTGACACCCTTGATGTGCAGCTATGACCCCAAACAGGAGACAGAAGAAGGTGAGAAACTTTTTGGGCACAGGGGACACGTTGCATTTGAGTTGCTTGAAGGTTTGCGAATCTCGTGCCTGCCCGTTGCTGGCAGTGCTGTAGGGGTGGTGTGAGCCGAGCCTGGGGACCTGGGTTTGGAGCTCTTTGGCATCTGAGAGCTAGGCTCAGTGCAGGGTAGAGGGGAATGAGAAGTGGAAGTTAAACTTGGTCTCAGGGTGACTGTGAATTTTGGAGATGCTGGCATAGGTCATTTTGTTTATTGGATCCAGCTCATAACAAATAGGGAGTGAGTTTGTGTTTCTAACAGCGCAACTTTTCCTACTGTGGACCATAGTTGATGTGCTTGATAAGACACAGCAGTTCTTTTCCAAAGGGAGACCTGGTGGGATTTTCATTTCCAGACTACTTCTTACCCCTAGGAAACTGTTCCAAGTGAATCACACGCTATAACTGTCTGAAGAAATGTCTCCAATGTTATCCAAGCAATGACTGAGATGTCTTTCTTAAAGCTTTTAGGCTTGGTGAATAAAATCACAGTCCTCCTAATTGTTAAGCTGTAGTTACTGCAATATGAACACAAAAATCTTATATTTCCTGGGGAAAAGACCATTTGCATACCACTGTTGTAATGTCATCTGCTCCTTCCTCCTCTGGGGGTTCTCTCAGAAGCCTTTTGAATGAGTTTTAAAACAAGCAGACCTTGTTTTGTTTTGTTTTCTTAAGAAAATAGCAGAAGGCAAAATAAAGTGTTTCTGAACTTCTGAACCCCGTTCTGTGCTTTTTGTTCATTCCTTTGCCTTAAAAATGAGAGTCTTCAAATATTTTCTTTACTGACTGCAGGGACTGCTTTGCTGCTTAGAGCACAAGAAACCACGCAGAGGAGGGATTTAGTGCTGCCCTGGAGGTCTTTACTGCTGCGTGGTATTTAATCCTGTCTATATTTATATGAAGAATTGCATGTATTTACTGTGGAGCATGGTGTTCCTGTTACCTCATGTATCACAGGAATAATGTAGCCTGCCTTGGCATGCCTTTTCTTCCAGTGTAACAGAGGCTCAGAGCGTCTCTGCTCCCTTAACTGTTGCTGTTTTTATGGGATGAAACCTCAGGAGCTGCCATGGGAGTCTGCCGGACCATGGGGAATTCCTTTTGCGACCTGAAGAAATCACCCCCTGCTTTCTGCACCAAACAAGAGAAAGGTGCCTTGAGCTGTCAGCAGACATTGGTGCCTGTCAGGGGCTGCACAGGGGCTGCACTGGCAGCACACGTGTGACATCTGAAATAGGCTCTGGCTGGCTGTTCAGGTGTGATGGAAGGTGGAGGGGAAGGGGGGGATGCTCAAGATAGGCCTGTTTGGTCTGAAAAGCTCTGCATTAGAAAACTGCCTTAAAATCACATCAGCTGGGCAGGGGGAGGTACTGCTTATGTATATCATATAGTGAACTCTGTAGGTGTCCTGCAGTTCCTCAGAGCAGGAATCTTTGCCCACCTCTAGCCTGATCCCAGAGATGTGTGCCTGGCAGAGCATCCCTCCCAAATGGTTTTCACTTGGTGGCTGCCTGTAAATGCCTCTTCCTGCTCCCCCTCTGCCCCCTGCACACACCAGCAGCACAGCCTTGGGAGGAGCAGGCTGGCCAGGTAGGAGGGCTGGACAGGTAACATCTGGACTAGAAACTACCTGCTGGAATGACATAAAATAGTGAACTTTTCCAGAAGGGCATACAGCCCTGGGCAATATTGTCCCATTAGTGGGACAAGTTTGTTGGGCTTCTGCATAACATAATTGTTCTCCACAGCAGCCAGAGAGGTGGAGAAGTGGACAAGGAAGATATATCTACTGGTTCCTGTATTGAAACAGGCTTGGGAAAATCATATCCCTGAGTACTCTTTCAGTTCAAGCCACAAATCATTTCTCTGGATTTACTGCAGAATTTAAGCCTGGAAGCACTTTGTAGTTTTACTTTCACAGAGCAAAGGGGAATATTTCAGGTAACGATCTTGTTGACATTATAGGAGCTTTAATCACTAAGGTTTGGCTCTGTGATATTCTTTACAAACCATTTGTGAGAGGTGAAGGTGATTGTGAGGTGCTACTTATCACACCAGTATTAAATGCTGTATTACTTTTATATAATGTTTATATTTCAGCTCCTCCTGTTTTGCATGCCTGCATGTAATGCCTCAGGCTTGGAAGATTACATGTTTCAGCCTTTATTTTCATATCTGAGAAGAACAGAGCAGTGAGGATAAATATGGGGTAAGTCTGGAAGAGAAGATGAAGGGACTATCTGGGAAAAGGCAGTTATGGGTCAGGCTGCTGTTAGGACTAAAAGGAGGGAAAGGATTCAGATTGGATCCATGAGCACTGACCAAACCAGTGGGCAGCCCACACCTGGCTGTTGACTCTTCAGAGAGCCTCACTCTCCAAATTAGGCTCCACAATTAACTATGTGAAGGAGGAATCACTTGTTAATAGGAGTTTAATAGTTTAATAGGAAAATGACATTGTATTTTGGTACAAGGTTATAGAACTCCATGCAATGATGATGTCTTAAGGAACTGTCTCTCTCTTTTAACTCATGAGAGACAGTGCTGAGGAAATTGCAGACATGAAAATTCCAGAACTCAGAAAATTTTCAGGGCAGGCCTGATTTTTTCAGTCTCGAGGTGTTAGTATTTGCCTTTGATATAAACAAACTTTGATCCACAGCCTTGGGGCTGCTGAGCCATGGGACTCAGCTGCCCACACAGCCCCAGCGGTCCATCCAAACTGGGCCAGATGAGCCCCAGCACCTCTTTTCCAGATTTAAGTGTCTTGGTGGAAGAGAAGGCAGGAGATCACTATGTGGAAGAGAATAATTGCTATTCCACTGATGGGCGCTGCCTCAGGTCTGCTGCTCTTCTGACCTCATGGGCATGATCTCTGTTCTGTATTGCAGTTGTTGATGTATGGGAGAGCTAAACTTACATCCATAGCTAGGTGATATTTGGACCTACATGGACAGAAGTATTACCATCAGGCTGCTTTTAATACTGATGGCATCTAAAGAAGTCCTGTAGGAAACAGTTGCTCCAGAAAAAAGAATCTGCCTTGGGCTTCTACAAATCTGCTGCCCTGACATGGTGTGTGAGGATAGAGCCAGAACCAGAAGGAGGAAATCAGAGCTTTAGTTGGGTGAGGGTAAATGATGTCTTCTCTTTCTCATTCAGCTGAGTTCCTGTGTTGAAACTGCTTGTTCTTGACTTTCTGTGGGTTGTCTGGTAAAGAGATGGGGACGTAAGTTTAAGTTTGTCTTTTTCAGTTGCTTTTATGCACGGACACCACCGGAAGGCCAACTTGAAACCAGAACGAAACCTGTAAATGTGAGAAAAGAAATTAAGTGGTGAAATGATCTTTTTAATTGCACAGAGAATGAATAAACTCATGACTTGGTTCTACCTGTGGATGACCATGGAAATAAAAAATTTCTGTTGAAATCAAAGGAAGAGCTAAATGTCTAAAATGACAGAGGGAGGTGCAATAGGAGTTTATGATCAGATTTCCATATATTTTAAGTAAATATATAAGATCAGTGAAATGGCAGGCTGTTTGATGTGCTCAGTAGATGATGCTGACCATACTATGCTGGTAACAGCATTTAAGAGGCACAGAGCATCTGAGGAAAATATGTGTGTTTACCCACTGGAAGCTTTTTTAAAAAAACATGAATTATTAAATGAGAAAGCTGTCTGCTTTCTGAGAAAGGAGGGAGAGAACATGTTTGGGTGTTCCATGTTAAATGCAGGTTGGCTAGAAGGGCTGCAAAACTGTCTTCTTTTGCAAGCTTACAGGCAGGGCTTTGTTTGAAACGAGCCTCTCAGCATCCCTCTGGAGTTAAGCATTTGGTTACCCTCGAACTGCATGCAGCCAGGCTGAAGGGAGAGGCGGGCTACGGATGCAGGATTTGGCATGGAGATCCACGGGCAGCTGGAGCAGCTCCCACGCTCTGCATGCCGACACACCAGCACAGAGCAAGAGGGACATCTCTTGGCATGATGGGGTTGTGCTCTCCCAGCTGCTCCCTCGTGGGGACTCCCTCGTGCATGCCGGGATGGGACCTGCGGCAGGACGCCCCTGGGCTGCTCTTGCTTCCCCAGGGCTGTGGGGGGCTCAGGGCTGTGCTGGAGGGGGTGACCTGGGAGGAGCAGGTGGCTGAGCCAGCCCAGCGTTAGCTCAGCAGATGCATTGCAGGGATTACAGATTCCTCCCTTGGAAGTAGGATAGTCTGCGTGTGGAACTGGGTGCAAATGTGGCTGCACTGATTTTACATGTGCTTGCCTGCATTTTATTCCGAGGCAGAAAATCTTAAGGGCCGAGTTGAAATCTTGCTCAGAGGGTGCCCCATCTCAC